TAACTGCCTAATCATTGCCTCTGCCCTCTAACAAGACATTCCCTAGGGAAGGAGACTCCAGATAAATGTGGCAAGTGTAAAGGTGAGAACAGAGAAGAGAAAAATGAAGAACTGGTAAGTCTACTGAAATCATGAGACGTTCCGTATTAGACACCTGAGTGTTTTCTCTGGGCTGTGAGTTCTATAGCACAAGTGAGGGAGTTGTGAGGTGGAGGCTCCCTAAAGGCTGGAACTTGCTCTCTACACTGCACAGATCTCTACTTGCTTATATGTAAAATGGGAATAACGCCATTGATCTTCTTTCTTTAACAAAAAATGGTTTTTATATGAATGAAAGAAAATAGTGATTTCAAAGGCTGAAGAAATATCTTATTAGTTTTATCAAAGTCATATAACTACATATTTTCCAGTAACTTCTAAAATCAATTTAGTTCAATTACAAATTTATTATCATTTATTACCAACCACAGAAACAAAACTCTATTAAAATCCTTATTCCTTGTGTTAGATTTTAAATACTCTGGAAAAACCAAGAAGTTTTTGTCTCAAGAACAATGAAGTGATGCTACAAGTTCTTGCACATCTGAGAGAAGCAGCAGAGAAGGTGCTGTCAGTATGCACTAAATGCACTATTCCAAGAAAGGCTAGAGAGGAAAAGAAAAAGCCCTGGCTTTGCCTTCCATTTCTCTAACTTTAAAAAGAAGATATGGGGACACTGTCCAACTAAGAAAGGAAGTCAAATATAACAGGCAGTTGAAGCAAGGTAATTTATTATCATTTATGAGGTAAAAGTTTATGATTTCATTCATCCATTTTCAATTAGCTCTTTGGATGTGATCTTTTGGTTTGTATGTTAATTTTTATATTTAAGAGACAGTCCCATTACATGCCTTGAATAAAAAACAAATACTTTTCTATTTGTGGGTTTGGGGTTTAAAGCTATAAAGTGAACAGACATTAAATGAAAAACAAGAGAGACACTAAAGAATATAACAACTAGTCAATGAGTTAATAATTCTGATTACCAAATCATGTTTTTGTTTCTTTGTTAATGTAGTAAGACTTACTAAACTAGTAAGTTTCCAAAAATATAACTAGAAGATACGTTATCACAAATATTACATTCTTTAAAATTCTCTGAGCTACAACAAATTTAAAGTTACTAAATAAACAGCTGCTATAGCAATCAGTTCAGATTCATAAGCCCTGTTATAAGAACACAGTCCACTTCAGTAAGGTTTGACCCATCTTTCCAATGTGTTACCTATGTTTAAATTTCTTTTTCACTTAAAGCATACTTTCAAGATTTCAATTTACTATTTCTGTCCTCTGTTTTCTCAAACTGAGACACCCTTATCCCTCATTCTCATTTCCATCTCTTACACTTATCATCTGTAAACCTTGTACTTGACTTCTCAGAACTTTCTTCCAGAGTTATATGTGCAAGCTACTTTTAACTGAGTTTCATGACATGAAAAACATCCTATTTCCTGGTAAATAGTCAATGGAAATTTCAGATGAGAATGCTTATGTAAAAGAATGAAGAAAATCACACAGGGAATGACATTGATGAAAGAAAGCTATCACATTTCTGGCATCTCTTAAGTAATTTTTGGCTTACTAGATCGAAAGCTCTTTGGTGAAGTTTCTCTCATTCAATTGTCATTGAATCCAGGTCATTCATTGTGTTTTTAAATTTATTCCTTTAATCTCACTCTTACACTTCTCCAATCAATTAAGCAACTTTTAAAAGTCTGGCAGGTCCTAGAGACACACACTAGAGTACTGCTGGACAATGGAGGTGGGACATGCATATGGCAAAAAGCAACACTGGGGGTTGCAGGGGGACAGGGCCAAGGAAAGCTATACAAGAGATGATGGCCAAGCCATGTTTCAAAGGAGGAAAATGAATTCTCCTAGTAAAGAATAAGGCAAGAAGTAGTTCAGAAAGGAAACAGTATCTACAAAAGCACAGACATTCATGGAACTTCTAGTAGAACTTGCATTGGTAGAGACAGGGAAATATGGAACTGGTCCACAATCCATAAATCTTGAGAGATAAGCCCCAGTCAATTTAGGAGTCTTTTGACTCATAATTCCTTAAAACAAATTTTTAACAAGTGTTTGCTTTATAGTTACCAATGATATATCATTACTTAAAAAGGAAAGAATACAGAACACTGAAAAAAAAATCCTATAATAAAATTATCATAAGCAAAAACACTTTAGTAAAAGCCATAAAATATAAATTCCCCAATATCACTCATGTGTAGCTGAAATATTTTAATCTAGAACACTTATTCTGTATATATAATAATAGCACAATTCAAAAGGACATATTTGACATACAGGGTTGTTCTCATTTTGGGCTTTTAAAGCTAAACTATACTTATGCTTTAGAATATAATGTAGGAAATAAAAAGTACAATATTTTAAACTCCAAGTTCTTGTTCTTCTAAGTGGAAGGACGATATCTAGAAATAAGTCCTGTAGGTTCACTTAAGATTCCTACCAACGGAGGCTACTTGGCACGTGCACCTTGTATTCTTATGAAATATTCCCTTTAAACCTTTTTGGGGCAGAAACCTTGAAAATGTAGTGGGAGCTATGTAAATTTGATAAACCTTCAAACACATACTTGGCAAATTAATTTGCTTACAACTTTTATTTTTCACTTACAGAGTCTTACCATTTGACCATAAAATTGACAGTGTACTAGTCTCTTAATGAAAAGGTCACTGTTGAAAAACTTCAACTTTACTTTTCATTAGCTCCTATAGTTTTCTATGGGAAAAAATTAACTGTCAATTTGAATTTTTAAATATCTACAGAGTCTATTTTATTAAGAAATGTTTAAGATATCACTACGGTAGCACCAAATCTGTTCAGGTTTTTCCTGTTACTATGAATCCTGAATGATTATTTTATAAACAAACTGAGTTCCTACTTAAGGGTAGAAAATATTCATTAGTACATCCGCATTTCAAAGCTCCTGCTCTGAGAACTCGTCTACATAACTGATCAGATTAAAGAACACTGTTATATAGTCTGCATATTTTTATACTCATTTCTTCAGTGAGAATTATTTTCCATGTTTACCTATTATTATATTGTACCTTTCTGATTCACCAGGGCATGACAACAGGTTTTACCAATGAGGGATTGCACTGTCTTTTTTTGGAAGACGCACCATATAACATCCTTTGCTTTATAGCTCTTTTGGAAACTGGTAACTATACAGAGAAGTAAAAAGTGGAATCTATTTTCCTTTCCCAACTCGAAGACCTTCTATCTGGGCCAGACTTTGATATTTGCCCCTTGGCTGAGAATCCACATATCCAACTTCACACTTAGCTGCAGTGAAGTAGCCCTGCAGGCAGGCCGACTTCAACGAACCACTAGTGGTATCATCATTAAAATCCTGCTGAAGGTCACCATGGTAACCGCCTGCTGAGGCTTCACTGCTGCACTCGCATCTCCTAATCAGCTACCATGTGAAATGCAAATTCAGACAGTCTGAAAATTAGTCAAGAAGAATAGGGGATGAGGATGCAGATATGTGAAATATTCATGTGCTTCGTGGAAAAAGGAAGACAGCATGAATGACACAACAAAGAAAGGCCCCTGACATTCTTGCTATCATTTTGCATTATTGTTCACACCCCACTATATTTCTAGGCCTATAGTTCTGAAGTTGGTTTTGTGAAATACCCTATTTATATCCTATACCCAAAACAGTAATTAAAAATTGCTAACACAAGGGCACTAACATCAAATAAAGATAATACTTCTACGTTATCATCACTGTCTTTTGAGTATATTCTAATCACCTAACTACAAATGCTATGAAGCAAAAAACTAGACATCATTGATTATCAGTATCAAAACTATTAGAAGAAAATACACTTATATTCTAGGAATAGAAATGCTTTACATAAGGTAAAAAATTCTTTAGAGATATTTATTATTCAAGTTACATGGAATCAAATTTCCTTATACAATACTATGACCAAATGCTGTTCATTTCTTTCACAATAGAAAGACTGACAAGATTACCTAATAAGTGAACATTATAATTGTTTTATCTTTTCCTTTGCTCCTTTCCATTTTCCTCAGGCAAAAAAATCCGTTGCTCATGAGGCAAGATGTCCCAATGCAAGACAGTGCTTTCTCTGGGTAGGTTCCCAATGAACAGTGCAAAAAGAGCTTATGTGAACACACCTTAGTTGACCTAAGACACTCCTATTCTGCATACTTCCTTCTTAAATACTGGTACTATTTGGTTAAGATGGGACTACTTTGCTCAGTGAAAAACTAGATGTTGGGTAGTGCCAAAACAACTTATTCCAAATGGGTTACACCAAGGCAAGAAAGGATTTATATCTTAAGATCTTTGAAAATTTTAAGGCCTATCCAATATACTTTTTAAGATGTCTACAGTGATAACCTCAAACACTTACTTGAAGGATTTTGACTGCACCAGTGAAGTAGTGAGAGGACAGGTGTTGTCAAAGGAGGAAGGATAAAGAATAAAGTTCCAAGCCATAAAGCTAAGAGATATATATTTCAAGGTTTTGAAAACATGGATGGGAGGGAAGTTCTGCTAGAATAGGTTTTAATTGTTTACAGGTATGAGATGGTAAGAATGGAGAGTCAGCCTGTTGAGAGGGACTACCAGACATGTCCATTAATTAGAGCCTGGGCTTGAGCATTAGTTCTGCCCCTTCTCTGTGTTCAGTCCACTCTCAAGGCAGCTGCAATTCTCATCACTCCTCGGAAGTGTCCAGTTTTATAACACATGTTGTGTTGTGTCCCATTCCACACTATGAATTTCAGAGTCAACTCTGAGGATCTACCTCCAAGAGAATGAAAACAGAAAGAAAAGTGCCATTTTTGCCACCTATACTATCTGTATTTTTGGATAAAGGAAAATTCCATAATAAAATACATAAATTAGCAAAATGAACAAGAGACAAACACATGAACTTAAAAGAACTTACTTCCTCTGAGTAGTGATCTGAAGGAAGAGGTGGGTAGTCGCACTGTTCTATCTTCTTACACAATGAGTATAAATTCATTTTGTCACCATAGAAAGGACTCTGCAATGCAGCCATCTGTAAAATGCTCCCAATGAAACTGATATACTACATGGTAACTTTAAAGGTGGTTTCACCAAGTATATTACACTGGGGTAGAAAATAATTATAAATATAAAATAATTATAAATGTAAATAAAGTTATCTGGATATATTGATGTTTACAAACAATCCTTTGTAAGAATTACTTATTAAGTGGTAAAAAGTCTTAGTTCAACCTTTGGCTATTGTTTTTGCAACATTTAAATTCCCTAAAATAGAGAAATGGTTAGCACATTCCTTTATATACATAAACAACATAAAATAATATTATGAAACAGAAGATATAATAGCTTACTTCTTAAGATACAATAACTTAAGAACTCTTGTACATACAATGCCATAAAAACAACTAGCATTAACTATGACAAAACAGACATCACAAGGCAAAGCTCAACCATATAATGGTCAAAATATAACAAGCATAAAACTGAAATTAAAACTGAACTATATTCAAGCAATGTCTTGGGGAATAGAATGCATACCATTTTTATCTTGCATATTATAGTCTGCAAGGAAAGGGTACTTTGGGAAACAATGACATCCTGAGCTGAATATTGTAATTGATTCACAAATACTTTGTAATGAATTAGAACTTCTTTGCTTTTGATAATGTCTCAAAAACCCTAAATATGTACAAAAAGTCTAGGAATCATCGATGCAATTCAGCATCTAAATGAAACTTTTCTGCAGAAAAACAAGACTCAATGGATGAACAACATTAGAAAAGACATTATTGAATTTAAATTTATTTTAAGACAAGGTTCTAACTTGACATTTAAAGTGCAAGCAAGTACTGTGGTAAGCAGGGTTACAAACTCAAAATTCAATTTAAAATGTTCGCATCCTGTTGAAATCCTTCTAAATCTTTGAACCGCAACAGCAAGAATACAACATGGAGTGCCAGGCTGCCCCAAAGTCAGTCACCCTTTTCTACATGTGCTAATAAGTTTGATTTTGGAAGGACACTGTGTACATTCCCCAGACAGGCAGAGTATGTGTGAAACACGCTGGTCCATGCTGTGCTACTCAGTGAGCGTCAGTGGGGACAGGACAAGCTGAAAATGGCTCTCATCTGTCTTCTGTTCTCCAGACCAGGTTTTAACTCCTTCAGAGCCTTAGCCAGGAGGGACAGGACTGGAGATCAGGCCTGAAAAGCAGCTCGACAAATTGTTACCTAACCTATGTTTTATATAAAACCTATACCCACCTATACAATCAACCCAGGAAGACTAGCTATTCCACATAGTGAGGAAAAAGTAAAAGACAATTTGAATACTCCTAAAAATATAAACACTCTAAGAGGGGAAATTAAATTTCTAAAGGGGGAACTATAATAATAATAATCATTTTTGTTTAAAATGCAAGGACATTTTCTGATAAAAAGCTATACAAAGTATAGTCTCTCCACTTTTTAAAACCTTAAATGTACACACATTCGTCATGAGATACTAGGAGTTCATTATACTACTTTTGTCTCAATACTGCAGAGTGTTAAAAAAAAAAAATCAGAATGTCCCCTAAGGAGTTAAACAGGAATAGTATATTTTCATGCATCTCCTGCTTTGACAGATGAAAAATGTCAACTGTCCTGTTTTTATTTTCAAGCTTTTGCACTATTCATCTGGTTCATTAGTGCATCTCGATGCTGCCCCTGACAGCTGCTCGCCCTCTCCTCCCAGCAGCTGAATTTTTCAGGCTAATTTGATCCTCCACACTGAGACGATCGCTAGAATGATTGACTTGCTCCCTGACCTCCAGGGTCTGACTTTCCTGATTAGTATTCTGGGGGTGTCGGAGGGACGAAAGCCCACTGTCTGTCTTCAGGGCTGGTGGCAGCTCTCTTTTTTTTTGAACTGTAAGCCACCAACCTACAACCCTGTAAGGATGCAATTGCTGCGCTGAACAATAAAGGAAATGTGTAAAACCTACTTTTCCATGTAAAGGTCCGTGTAGCAAAAGCACAGCATCTTGATTTTAATTAGTAAAGTCTACTTTGTTGCATATCAATTAAAACCGTACTGCTAGTTTTTTTTTTTTAACGGTTTCAGGAATATTTGAAAGTCTAATTTTCTGAGTTTAAAATACATTTTAAAAAAGGTTTCCTTTTCCTTCATTGTTAATAGTAATTTCTTAGTGGGTTACAATATAAAAGATCTATGTAATGTTATAGGCAATTTTTTAAAGCTAAATTGCTGGCTATTTCTATTAACATTACATCCAAATATAACTAAAAGAATATAGAACATAAACTAAGACTGGAAAAATTCTAGTCTTGCATGAAGGAATTAACAGACTGTATCAAGAAGAAAACGAATGTTAACAAGATAAATATTTTAACTCAAATCATCCCAACACATATAACTTGTGAATGTAGGAATGTACATAGAAATAATTTTTATTTTGACGACCACTTTAAACACACATAAAAATGGGACACTGTCTCTCAAAGGCAAAATCAGAATGTGAAATATTCAGTTTTTGACCTGAGTTTGTTAGCTGCAAAAGAATTACACAAACTTCCCCATCAAAATACTTACAACTCCAACTGAACATTTTTTTTATTGCTAAATTTAATCTCATTATTAGAAACTAGTCTGCTATTTACTTTTAGGCATTGAAGGGAAAATGTTACTTTGATAATATTAGACTGTGGTCTGAAGGACTCTAAAGTTATCTAAACAGACAAATATTTTAAATACACAAAGTGAGTAACTTTAAAACACTGCAGTAACAATATTATCAAGCCAATTCTCTTTAACATTGCACCAATAGAATCAATAGAATAGAATAGAATATAGTGAGACTACTTTATCATCTCATGTGCACACACAAAAACATTTTGTTATATCACTATTTCATAATATTTCTTAATAGAAATAGGCTGAGTTTACTTAAAAACTCATCCTTTGATTTTGAGTAGTCATTAGTCACTTTAGTAGAAGAATAAAATAAGTAATTTAAGCTTCCTTAAATTAAGAAAACTGGCATTTGTAATGAGCAAAATAACAAAAGATCACAACACACATTAGGAAAAGCACCCCTGATGCTCTAATTCCAAGTAATGGTAACACAATTAAAATAGATGACCTCATCATATATTCATTTAAGTCAGGAGGACAAGAGAACAAATTATAGAATAAGAAATCTACCCACTTTAGATTTCTTTATTGAGACATGAAAACTATTCTATATATTGTGTTTCTTCAGTTCATTAAAACTGACTTTAATGTAGACTAATTTTTAGTTAACACTTTTCACTTAAAGTCTGTATTTTTCTAACTCAATTAAAAAACAAAATTATAAAAGTCACTAAGTTGAGATACTCTTTGATACCAATGCTCTATAAAATGGTATGAAATGTATCAACAATATGCTTTCTTCCAAATTATTACACTGTAATATTTCTAGAGAATCAATGTACAAAACCATCTTTCTTTGATAAGAATAGGAGACTATTTCTCTGAGCTTTGCCAATATAAATTGTTATTCATGGAACCTAAATTAAATGATAACCAAGAAGAATTATCCATGTGCATTCTATCCTTTAGCTGGATTGTATCTATGTAAACATGAAACAACACTGATAAAGACATTCACTATACTTTCAAATTATATATCTATTTCATTATTCCTTTCTTGCAATGTACTATTTTTCACAGATGCTCAAAAATGCACTTGTAAATAATATAGGCAAAAAAGCATTAACATTAAGTTAGTATTTATACAATAAAAATCGCATTAGAAAGACACAACTTAAAACTACATTAAGTAAATTGTGGTAATACGTTGTTATCGAATTTTATTATAAAACCAGTTATTACCTAATGAATAAACTTTTCATAATTTAAAAGCTAATTTAAAAACATTATCCAGAAAAAAGTAAGTATAAACTATGAAGACCAGGGAAATTAGGTAAAACTGCTTCAATACATGGAATCTATCAACATTACCTACCTCATACAGTAGACAGCCAAGAGACCAGATGTCCGACTTGAAGTTGTATCCATTTTCATGTATTCTCTCTGGAGACATGTAATAAGGTGTACCCACTGAAAACACAAAACAAGTAAAACAAAATGTATAAAAACAAAGATAGTTATGGTAAAAACTTAAACACAAAAAATTAGATTTAAAAATATCACCAAAACTCAGTAAGAATCAGAAAACGTTTTCTGAGAATACACAAAAGTTTAAAATTTTTTCAACCCTTATAAAGCACATTAATATCTGTATTATAATATAAAGGGTGTGATGGTTTAAACTCTACATTATAAAAAAAATAAACTCTACATTATTCCCCTTTGATCAATTCAGGGAGAAATTAAGGAGCATAAATAAAGGGAAAATAAGTGGAATTCTAACAAGAAAACCTACCTAAAACAATTCACATTGGCTTTTTTTTTTTAAATATGACTGTGTATTCCCAAATAGTTAAGCATGACAAATAACAGTTTGTTTTAAACCAAATATCATATAGTAATTTAGAAGAGTGTGTACAAACATATCACACTTATTAGCTTCTACAGAAGCATCTCTAAGCACACAGTCGTAGCTCCAGTATTACAAGTGATGTAACAGTTGGCACTTGATGCCCTCATTGCCTCTCTTTAGAAAGAATGCAGTGGACTTTCTACAGAATAGCAACATAAGGGACAGTGCACTGACATTTCTACAAAAGTGCCTAAGTTCCTGTCATTTCAGAGACAAGATACTCTAGATAAAATATGATTTTGTTTGAAAATAAAACAGAAAAATTTCTCCTTTATATGGCCATTTTGGAAGATGCTAATATTGTTTTACATTACATTTTGAAGGATAAAACAGCTAAGTGACTTTCAAATGAATACCATTAAACTCAAATTTAGTGGCTATTATTTCACCATCATTAAGTCTAAGACTTCCTGCCAAACAGAAAAATCAAAGTTTGCAAACAATATTTAGGAATCTTATGTACGAGTGGCAAGAGCTACTAAAAACTATGCTGCTACTCAAGGAGAAAAGAGCATTTCTCCATTTTCTGTTAATTTTCAAGAATTCTCCAGTATTTATTGCAAATCTTAATCAGACTATGAGACTAATTCATCATACTACACGAGGGTGTTACTGACAATAAAAAAGAGTCCCACCAATAATTAAAGCACTTTCCTCAAAAGCAGAAGTCAGCCTTCCAAAAGAATAGAACTATAACCTAATATTTGTGTATGGAAAGAATACTGTGTTAAAAGTGGAGATATCATGAACCATGTATGCAAGAAATCCTACCTAAATGGAATCCAGTTTTACTAATAATGGGTATCCTGGTCAGAATAGATGAAAGGGAAGTATTTATGAAAGTGGAGAAGAAACGTGAAAAAGAATATGTAAGCAAGAGGATAAAAAATTTAAAGAACATATACACTATTTAGATATGAAATTAAGGAGACAAACTTAACTGTAGCATTCGCCTAGAAGACAGATGAATTTTCCAATTTCAGCAGCGTCAGCAAAGCAAGGAAACTTAGAGCTATGTTTAAAGTATTATTATTGCACAAAATAAGCAGAAGCTTGCTAGCTTTGGGAGTTCTAACCACTTTCTCCTGTAGTTTGCATAAGCAACACCAATTATTGGAAATATTTACACACTCCATGCAAGGCAGGATGGTGGGTACAGCTGGAATAATAAGCAGGTTCTGCACAGGCTCCTGGTTGTAGGACATAAAGCAAGTGACTGGCAGTGAGGAATGTGCAAGAGAGGCTTCATGGAATCCACAGGGGGCAGCTGAAAACACTGAGGCTTCAAGGTTCAGAGTTTACCAAAAGCAAAGGTAATTTTAACCAGTAGCTCTGGGAAACCTGCTGATACATTAGGGGTTTGATATGAGTGTGAAAGATTGATGATAGGGAAAAAGAAGAACAAATGCTAGCATTTTACAGAGATTAGCCCCAGCATAACACCTTAACTGCAACACAAACTGAACTCACCGATGACGACCCACAAGTGGAGGGGGCAGAGAAAAAGAACAATTAGGAAATCTACTAACTACATTTAAGATGTAGAAAAATTTATCGTACAAAAAAGCCTTTTGTAGTGAGCTGCTGGAGGTTACCATAAAATGTTATATACTCGGCACTGCTATTTTAAGCTTAGATCATCTGTTCTCCTTCATAGTATAAAACCCAAACATCTTTATACTATACACCAGTTTTACTTCAGTATGTAAATTACAGACTCTTGACTATATATTAAAATTGGAAGTTAAGTATGCTACTCACCTCCTTGATTGACTTGTTTCCAAAAGGCTCATTATATAAGAAGTAAGACGAGCAGGCTTGTAGTCTGCACTACAATTAGTTTGGGTAAATTCATAATTAACTGCTGAGTACAGACCTAAAAGGAAGGTTCTACTGTCTCCCTCCGACATGCTCCTTAGGTGCCCCTCTGCTTTGAACCAGACTTTTCCTCTGACTGACAATGGGCAAAGAGGTTCAGCCCCATTACATCCTAGAATGAATTGTACTTACACCTCTCTATGTAGCAGAGGGGCTTAAAAGTTTATGTGCTCAAGAAAATTTGCAAGCAGTGATATATTTTCAACATTTCAAACTCATTTAAGATACAATTATTTCCTAAAAACCTTTTTTTAAAACTCCATGACAGCTGCACCTATGATTAGTGTTGCTTCAAGAATGTTGTGACTTCTTTTAACAGCTACACGAGAAAAGAGAGAGTTGTGGAGTGATGTGATTAGACATTAAAACAATCATGTCAATTACTATGCATTGAGGGACATGGAGGATGGAGGATGCATAATTCCACTTATCTTTCAAGAATTTTTGGCTGTAGGTAAAATAAGAATTCGTCTTGCAATAGCAGACATGCCATTTTAACCTTGTGACATGAGTAAAAGTAAGTAAAAAATGGATATTATTAAAAAACAAGGGAAGACTTGACATTAGAGGAAAACTGCCAACAACTGAAAACGTTATCTGACCTTTCCTAAATCTGTACTAATACCATATTAAAATATACTGAGTCAGTCACTCAAATGTAAAAAACCATTTTGATGCCATTAATTGATTTATTCTAGCTATATGAGAAGAGCTTTACATGTTACATACTCTATAAACAGATACATTCTCAAATTTATTCTGAATAAAATGACCATTTTTCAGGAAGTTCTATGATAAGTTCAAGAGAACCAACAAATTCTGCTAACATATTGGTATTATATAAGATATGACTCAATTAATAACATGTCATTAGAACAAGTCAAATTTTAGCACTTTAATCTCTACAAAGACTTGAATGAGGAGAAAATAATAGGAAAAATGAAGAATCTATGGCTGGATTTTTGTTTGCTGTCTTATATTTTCTAAACAAAGGTGGTAACATAAAACTGGTCAAAGGTCAGGAGATCTTTTCCATTTTCCCTTTGACACAGGTAGTCCCCCGTAACTTCTCCTTCTCTTTGGCTTCCTCTTCTGTAAGACGGGGTGATGATGTGCAAGACAAAGCAGTCTCTGACAACTTTTCCAAAACTACAGCACTCAAAAACTGTACAAAAATCCAGTGGAAAAGTAAGTAGAAAAAGAAAGATATGGTCACTTTTAAACTATTGTTTAGTCTAGCTAAGTGAAGGCATTCTAAGTCAGAGACCATAAGCAAGCAAATTCAACATAGAGATACTGTTCTCCTTCTCTTAGAATCAGAACAAACTGGAAGAAAAAACAAAAAACACTGACATTCTTTGTGAAACTTATAAAGAGACAAGTCACCTTATACCTCAGTTTGATTTAAATACACACACACACACAACTTTAGAGAACAGGAATTAATTTTCATTTTCTTTCATTTATACTCATGAGTAAGCCACAAATTATGTTGGCAGACAATAGAGAGAGACCAAATTTGTATCATCATTAAGAGTATTATCTGAGGTCAATATGGAATGTCTGAGTAGCAGATCAATTGTTTTCTGGGCAAAAGACATTTTACTCAACAACATTTAAGAGCTTTAGTAATGCTGAGAAAAAGACCTCACTGCATGTTACTGTTGTGATTGCATGCATTACCTTACTAAACTTTAACAAATGTCAACCAGGCATTTGCTAAATGCCTACTCCATGGCATACACTGTTCTAGGTGCTGGCGAGGCAGAAATAAACAGGATGAATACTTGATCTTGTAGAGGCCCCCGTCTAGCAAAATAGGGACTGTTAAGAGGTAGCTGTATGAGATGATACACTATCATCCTGCTTTAGAAAAGAGGCATAAGGGGTCAGGTAAGTGGCTGAAGATCACAAAACCGGTAAAGTGTGGACCTGTGATTCAAACCCAGGTGGTTCTGCACTTAGCAGGAAGTTATTTCGCTAAAACTGACCACTGTGAAATATGGCTGAAAATAAAACCTATACCTTCCAAATTAAGAAGCAGAAAATCTGTGTAAAACTCACAGCATGCAAAAAGCAGAAACAAAGGTCCTGGTTCAGAGGGCTACAAGTACAAATTATGATACTCTGCAGCTCCTCTCACTGTTTTAAATAAATAGTTGTTATGGTAGCCGAGAGGTTAAATGTGCACAGTTTAAAATTAGATAATAGCTTCTTCCTGGAGCAATTACTTAAGCCTAGAAAGGACTAAAAGTTAAAAATAAATCAGTGAAAGCTGCTACTAGTACTGACCGAACATATGCTGCCTTCACAGCTCCACAACAATGAGGGGGGATAAGCCAAAGACAGACCCAGACCCATAGAGAGGTGTGAGAGAAAGGTGTGGGAAAAACATGTATGTGACCACAGGTGGCACCTGGCAACAAAACTGAAACTATTTTAATGCCTGGTTCAAGAACACTAATTTTCCAAGTTGAAATAAGAGGATGTATCACACTTGGATATAGTGTTGGGAACACGAATTGTACACTCAAGAGACTTCAATGTGAAAACTCTGATATCTGGCTTGAATGATAGCAATGTATTTACTCTGCTGGCAATATCACAAAATCAGAGAACCATTTGTCTCACTGTGAAAGATAAACAAGAGTTCAAGCAATCCTATGACAACATTTTCCCC